TCTTTTTTCTCTGCTTTCTCTGCCTCTCACTTCCACTCCTTTTCTCTCCTGCTTGCCCACTGGGTGTCTTTCTGTTTCTGTCACCTCCCCCTTCTCCTGCTGTCCTGGTCATTTCTTGGTGGGCAGAGGGCCCTAGGCTGTCTTTCAGGAGCCCTTGGCCCCCATTCCCAGGCCTAGCACCTCTGTTCATCCATCTTCACTCCCTCTTGCTGTAGATTCAGTCATAGGGTGTCAGGACAAGATGAGATCTCATACACCTGCCTCACTGCCAGACTGAGAACTCAGAGGCCCTTGCATCCCCAGGTCTCCAGGGATAGCAGTGGCACCTCCCTGCCAGGGACCTCACACCCCTGGGGTGTGCTGGGGATCCCTGTGGTCTCTGAGTAATGCTGAGTGAGAATACCATGAAATATTGATACTAGAAACCTAAAATATCTAAACATTCTACCCTGTGCTGCAGCTGACCCCAAGTTAGGTGAGATTCTCACATAGACGGTGCAATAGGCAAAGCAGAAGGGTATGGTGGGAAAACACTGAAAAAATTCCGTGAGTTCAACATACTATTTTCAGATAGTTGGGGAAAGGTTGTTGTCAGCTTTGCGGGACCCAGGGTGCTTACTTGCAGCTGTCGAAGGTAGTGCCTTCCTTCAGCTCTGGGGCCTTACCCTCACCCTGCTCTGACATACCTGCCCTACCCGGTCTGGCCTGTGTGTCTGAAAGAAACCGTGCTTCACACCAGGCAGGTCTTGGACCAGGCAGCTGAACCAGAAAGAGCTGAGCTCTGCTGCCTCCTAACTTTGTGGCCTCAGCCTAAGGCAAATGAATTCCCTTTTGGAAATCTCAGTTACTCTCATCGGTAAAATATGTAAGAAATAATTCTTTTGAATGCTGGTGTGAGGGTTCCTCAGACAGTGTGTATAAAGCCTGTGGGCTGGATGTGCGGAGGAGACACACACTTGACCCTGGAAGCATCCAGATACTGCCGAATCACCCTTGACTTTCCCCAGTGATTCTACAGGTCCATGCCCCTTCTATCTCCACCAGTTGCGCTTTCACACCCTGAGCCTCAGAGGAGACAGCCACAGTATGAGTACCCTCAAACAGGTCCTTCTAGTCCCAGTGGAGCTGCGGTTGGAGCCTGAGCCCCGACTCCCCTTAGTCCCCCAACCGCATTAGAGGATGTTGACTCTCCCAGCTGAAGAAGGTCTAGTTTCATTGTGGGTTTTTTCAAGGACCCTGGAATCCAGCCTCTCACTACACAGTGGAGGAGAATAGTCCAGAGAGGACAGGCAATGACCCTCTTCACAGTGGAGTGGCCGGCATGGGAAGCAGCTGAGCTGGCCATATCTGCCTAGGATATGCATGAGGGTGTGATGGTGGCAGCACAGGTCTGATGGGGGTGACAGGCAGCCCAGGGACCTGGGACTGAAAGGACTTAGCCTGCTGTGGGTCTGAGCAGTGTGTCCCAGCACGGCTCTCCTCTGCCTGCCCACCTGCCTGCCTACAGTGTTTATTTCCTTTGTATTTATTGGTCCAATTCTTATACTCTTGCCTTTGTGGGAAGCCCTTCAGGGGGCAAGGACTCAAAATAAAACACTGATTAAAATGCATAAAACATCTCCTTGGCAATTTCAGGAGTAACCTGAAGGATTAATGGTGTGAGAATGGCAGAAGCAGCACATTGAGCACTTAGCATTTTTGGTGGCCCCTCAGACATGACCTGCCAGCATCCCTAGGTCATAGAGACCTCATGGGCATGCTCTGCTACTGCTGTGTCAGCTTGGACCAACATCTTCACCTCTCCAGGCCTCAGTTTCCTCACCTTTCACGAGAGCCCCAATGTAAAAGGTGAGTGGAGGTAGTTCAGAGGATATGCCCTTCTGGAGCTATTCCAGGCCTGTGGAACATGGCCCTGCGGTCTCACTGCCAGGCCTGAGGGCGGCAGCCGCACAAGGCAATGCCAACCAACTTTCTCCTACCAACATATTTGGATTCCCTAGTTCTCTCATTGCTCTGCTGTCTGCTTGTGTCAGCTCCATCAGAGGGACTTCAACTCCTGTAAAAACTCAGGCACACCCTTCCTTTCAAAGCGCATTCACTGGTACCTGCATGTGCCACACCTTGGTCTGAGGCTGCACCACATCGTTGGTCCTTAGGCATCTCAACTTCTAGCAGGTGAGATGCACCCATGACTGTCTGACCTGCAGTTAAACATATGGAACAGCTGCAGGGCCGAGTGTTCAGGCTGTGGAGCATAGCTCCATCTTGGCTTATATCACCAGGAAGCTCTCACCTTCAATCATTAATTAGGATTTTGTGGCATTCTTTTCTGACTGGCTTGCCCTCTTTAGTTTTGTCTTTTTATCATCTTGTCATTTAGCTTTTCTGTCAGTTGGCTCAAGTCATTTTTAGAATGATGTGTGCTATATGTCAGTTACGTAATATCAATACTAATAAATGTAAGGTGCTTCAGTGTGGTAGGCAAGAGATGATTTCTGACTGAGTAGTTCAAGGATGGCTTCATGGAGGAGGTAGCCTTTGGGGTGGAAGGTCACAAAGGCTGCTGGAGCAGAAGGCTGGGAGAGCTCTCCAAACAGAGACGGCTTCAAGGCAGGAATGTGAGGACCTGGCCAGAATGAGATAGAATCATGGGTGGATGGTGGGAAAGGAGGTAGTTGGGTAGGATGCGGCAAGGTGGTGGCGGCCTCCAATACCAGATTATTGCCTGTGTGAGGGGCTTACCAACATCTTAGGTGGCCTGTGCCCTTGCTAACCCCCTCTAATTCCTCATCCCCCACCCTGCCCACCAACCCAACCCCTAGCTCGGTGCTAAAAGTCCTGTTTACCTCTGCAGGTCCCCAACCTCCTACCTGTGCAGGCTTCAGCTGCTAGCCTGGTTATTTATTGATTGCTGTCAGATGTTTGCTTTTCTGATGGGTCCCTGGAGCATGTGTGACTATGGAAAATGGCCAGGTAGGGGTGGAGTGGGGAAGGATGAACCACAGAAGAATCTGCAGAGAGGATGAGAAGGGCTGAAGGGGTAGGGGGTGGACAAAGCCCTTGGGGATGACAAAATCTCGCAGTTCCATCACATGTTGGTGACAGCCAGAGCCCTTTCTGGTTAATCAGTCATTTAGTTGATCTATAGCTAGGGAGCACCTGTCAGTCCTGAGAGACCACTCTTTTCACTGGAGCATTCGAAAGCATGTGGTTCCACTGAGTCGGATAAACCAAAGCTCTGGTCTGAAGTCCTCCCTTGTATGGACTGGGTATTCTTGGGCAGCCGCAAGCCCCCCAGGCCCCAGTTGCCTTAAGGGTTGAAGTGTGGGTGACAAGAACCATGGCCTTGAAAGTGGAAACTGTGCACAGGTGTGGGGAGAGGCTGGAAGGGGTGGGGGAAGGGACTGAGCTGGGGCAGAGAGGTGGGCTCTCTCAGCCTGCACTTCCACTTCCTGCAGTGAGCCCTCCTCAGGGCCACGATGTGGGGAGTGTGGACAGGCAGCAGAGCCCCAGGGTGCCAGGCTGGGATGGATGGATCTTTGCCTCGCCAGAAGTGGAGGGCTGCAGCTCGGCTCCAAGAGGCCATCTTGTCCACCCCCTGGAGTTTGGAGAGGTCCAGACGAGTGATGGAACAAAGGAGGGAAGGAGAAAATGGGGAGACCATCTGAGTACGAGTGTGAGCAAGTGGCCTCTGAACATCACAGACTGGGAGACAGTAATGGGGAACTAGCTTTGCACACCCCTGTTCCCTCCACCTGCAGCCTGTGCTCAAACTGGGCCCTGGCATTGTCATCCTTGTTACCACCACCAAAGTCCTGCATGTTACTCAGGGCCCAGCTATGACAAACCTCACATCCTCAGAGCTGCAGTGTGTACCAGCCCCTCCAGGCTGCCCGTGCCATCCTGGGCTTCCGGGCTCTGACTGCCTACCTCAGACTAGCAGCTGCACAGAACTTGGCACTAGGATGAAAGTGATTGAAATCCCAGAAGACAGAGCAATGAAGGCTGGAGGGTCTTTGGAGAGGAGCATATTTCTCGCTGGGGATCAGAAAAAGCTTCTCAGAGCACTGGACGTGAAATTAGGCCCAGAAGCTGAGGTTTCAAACAGGCAGGACAGGGCATTCCAAGAGGACAGAAGTACAGGAGCCAAGGCCAGGAGAACTCACTCCTGGAGTCCTGCAGTCAGGAGCCTGGCGGGCCACTGTGGGGACCCAGAAGATGGGGAGAGTTGAAGAGGCTCTGTGGGGAGGCATCAGGCTGGGTCCCAGATTTCTGGGTGGGAGTGCTCTTCACTGATCGAGAAACCCCACTGGGGAGCAGATTCATGAACACTGACATGTACCACTGGGTTTGCTGATCGCACAGAATTTGGACTGTGGTGTCTTCACTTAGGGCATCTCAGGCTACAGGCTGTGAGGTGAGTCTCCAACAGCCTCAGAAGCTCTTGCCCGCAGGCTAGGGACCAGATATGCTCCTCTGTGGACTGTTCCCAGAGGCCTCAGCCTTGAGTCTCTCTGTGAGCCCCCAAGGACAATTCAGCACGCCTGGCTTTAATCTCTGATGAGCACTGGGGGAAGTAGTGGCTCAGGATGCAGGGGGTGCGGGGCGGGGGCACGGCGCAGGCCTGGCGTCACACACGTATAAAACATAAAATGTAAAGGAGGTGGGTGACCCCTTTAGAGCCAATACCAGGCTCCTCTGGAACCCCCTTGATTCGAGAGATGCTGGGAAGACCCTTCAGTAGGGCTCTGGGCAGGGTAAGTGGCAATAAGGAAGCAGCATAGGGTGACAGGAGTTTCCCTCCACCCTCAGGCATCTGGACTTCACTACGGGGTCCCAGTCAGGTGTCATATGCCACTCTAGCCTTTTGCCTGTCTATCTGAGTCGGGGACATTCTGACAGAGCAGGATGGTGGTGGGGCACAGGAGGCTCAGGGTGGAGTCCAGCCAGATACTATCCTCTAACTGCCCCTTCTGTCCTGTGCTTGCTCTGGGCTGTAGGTAAGCAAGAGGATGCTGACAGGGGGCGAGAGGAGCATGCCCAGCCCCCTCCTGGCCTGCTGGCAGCCCATCCTCCTGCTGGTGCTGGGCTCAGTGCTGTCAGGCTCAGCCACAGGCTGCCCACCCCGCTGTGAGTGCTCCGCCCAGGACCGTGCAGTACTCTGCCACCGCAAACGTTTTGTGGCTGTGCCCGAGGGCATCCCCACTGAGACCCGCCTGCTGGACCTGGGCAAGAACCGCATCAAAACACTGAACCAGGATGAGTTTGCCAGCTTCCCACACCTGGAGGAGCTGGAGCTCAATGAAAACATTGTGAGCACTGTGGAGCCTGGCGCCTTCAATAACCTCTTCAACCTTCGAACACTGGGACTCCGCAGCAACCGTCTGAAGCTCATCCCGCTAGGCGTCTTCACTGGTCTCAGTAACCTGACCAAGCTGGACATCAGCGAGAATAAGATCGTCATTCTGCTGGACTACATGTTCCAGGATCTGTACAACCTCAAGGCACTGGAGGTCGGTGACAACGACCTTGTCTATATCTCCCACCGCGCCTTCAGTGGCCTCAACAGCCTGGAGCAGCTGACACTGGAGAAATGCAACCTGACTTCCATCCCCACCGAAGCGCTGTCTCACCTGCACAGTCTCATTGTCCTGAGGCTTCGGCACCTCAATATCAATGCCATCCGAGACTATTCCTTCAAGAGGTTGTACCGGCTCAAGGTTTTGGAGATCTCCCACTGGCCGTATTTGGACACCATGACACCCAACTGCCTCTATGGTCTCAATCTGACGTCCCTGTCCATCACACACTGCAATCTGACTGCTGTGCCCTACCTGGCTGTGCGCCATCTGGTCTATCTCCGCTTCCTCAACCTCTCCTACAACCCCATCAGCACCATTGAGGGCTCCATGTTGCATGAGCTGCTACGGCTACAGGAGATCCAGTTGGTGGGTGGGCAGCTGGCTGTGGTGGAGCCCTATGCTTTTCGTGGCCTCAACCACCTGCGTGTGCTCAACGTCTCTGGCAACCAGCTGACCACACTGGAGGAGTCCGCCTTCCACTCAGTGGGCAACCTAGAGACTCTCATCCTGGACTCCAACCCGCTGGCCTGTGACTGCCGTCTCCTGTGGGTGTTCCGGCGCCGCTGGCGGCTCAACTTCAATCGGCAGCAGCCCACGTGTGCCACACCCGAGTTCGTCCAGGGCAAGGAGTTCAAGGACTTCCCCGATGTGCTCCTGCCCAACTACTTCACCTGCCGCCGTGCCCGCATCCGGGACCGCAAGGCCCAACAGGTGTTTGTGGATGAGGGCCACACGGTGCAGTTTGTGTGTCGGGCGGATGGTGACCCGCCACCCACCATCCTCTGGCTATCGCCCCGCAAGCACCTGGTCTCTGCCAAGAGCAACGGGCGGCTCACGGTCTTCCCTGATGGCACGCTGGAGGTACGCTATGCCCAGGTGCAGGACAACGGCACATACCTGTGCATTGCAGCCAACGCGGGTGGCAACGACTCCATGCCCGCTCATCTGCATGTGCGCAGCTACTCACCTGACTGGCCCCATCAGCCCAACAAGACCTTCGCCTTTATCTCCAACCAGCCGGGTGAGGGAGAGGCCAATAGCACCCGAGCCACTGTGCCTTTCCCCTTCGACATCAAGACCCTCATTATTGCCACCACCATGGGCTTCATCTCCTTCCTGGGCGTCGTACTTTTCTGCCTGGTGCTGCTGTTCCTCTGGAGCCGAGGCAAGGGCAACACGAAGCACAACATCGAAATTGAGTACGTGCCACGCAAGTCGGATGCAGGCATCAGCTCCACTGATGCACCCCGCAAGTTCAACATGAAGATGATATGAGCATGGGGGGGGGGCGCCCTCCCTAGCTCTGCGCCACGCCTCCCTGGTCCCCACTGCTGTCCTGGCCTGCCCCACTGGCCCTTACCGACTCCCCTCTCTCCACCAGGACCTCAGAAATCCAGGCCTGGGAAACCTGATGCACAGGGGCACACGTGGACACACTGGAGTCAGAAACTGACGGACCAACATGCAGAAGTCAGTAATTCAATTTAAAAAGTTACAAACTTCTTCTGTAACTTGGGTTTCAATAATTATGGATTTTTATGAAAACTTGAAATAATAAAAAGAGAAAAAAACTATTTCTATAGCTAGTCGGAATGCAAACTTTTGACATCCTGGTTGCTCCAGGGCCCTCTTCCAACTCAGTTTCTAGTTTTTCTCCTCCTCTTCCTCCTTTCTCTTCTCTTCCCCTGTGGGGAGGGATAACTCAGGAAAACAGGAAAGGAGGTTCTAACCCCAACCACCCACCCACCCACCCTGCCAGGGCAGCCTTCAGGAGCCGGCAGAGTGGCGGGTGTGGGCTCACCTCCCAGCTGGCTGTTTGCTGGGAGCAGGTGGACGGGACAGGGCTGCCAGATGGGGGCAGGGCTGTCTGCTGAGCTGCCAAGGGTCAGAGGCCTGGTCGGGTGTGGCTGATACTCTGGACAGGGACTGGGGTCCTCCTGGAGGACAGCATAGTCAGCCGAGAAAGCCAGCGGCAGGGACGAGGCCTAACTTCTGGTCCCAGCTGTGCCCCTGACTGGCTGTGCAGCCACAGACATGTCACTGACCCTCAGTCTCCACATCTGTACAGATGGAAACATTATTCTCTGCCCTGCCTACCTCACAGGGCTGTTGTGAGGAATTGATGAGATGTATGTGAAACATTTTGTAACCTGTAAAGTGCTGTGCACACATGTGGGTGACTGCTCTCATTATGGTCATTATTATGTCCTGGCGGGGGATGGGCCTCCTGAAGGGATCTCCATGGGGTCAGGTTGAGGGCGGGCTGGGGGAAGGCCTGCTCAGGGACTTCCAGAAGCTCCTGCCATGGCATTGGCTAAAGGCATTGACTGGATTAACTAGGCTTTAGACCCACAGGGGTGTGTCCTAAGGCCCAGGAGCATGATGACTTCAACCACCTCTGTTCGGGGGTCCCCCCAGGCAGAATACCCCTGTAGCTTTGGCTTGGGCCTGTGCAGGGACTAGGCACATCAAGTCTTTCCATAAGCATTTATTGAGTGCCTGCTGTATGCCACTTCCCATGTAGAGTGCCCAGTCTTTCGGGATGGGAAAGCAGTTCTGGGGCTGACCTTGGGACTGCCCAGAGCCAGGTCACCACCCCAACTTTGTGCCATCTTTCACCAGGTCATACTCTGAACCTACCCTCGGCTGTGAGGGGTTCTGAATTAAGACCCACCTGCACATGAGCTGACCAGGAAGGTCAGATGTGGCCCCATCCATTCACATCAAACCTCGACGCTCCAAATTCAGCCCTGGAAAGGGATGCCCAGGATCAGGGGCCCCCCCACCTCCGGGCTGCAGACCGGTACCAATCTGGGCCTCTTAGGAGTTGGGCCACACAGCAGGAGGTGAGCTTGAGAGTAATGTGCTTGAATCATCCTGAAACCATCCTCCCCACCCCAGTCCATGGAAAAATTGTCTTCCACTAAATCAGTCCCTGGTTCCAAAAACGTTGGGGACCGCTGCCCTGGATGACAGAAGTACCAAGAGACAGGCAGGTCACCTTGTCACCTGATCATACGTCTCTGAGGTTCCAGGTCAGGTCTGAGTGACTTCCTATTCCAACACTTATAGCTGTTTGGGATTGTTGCTTAACTTCTCAGACCTCGATCTTCCCATTTGTAACAAACATGGTCTTACTATTGTACTTTGGGTTGTTAGGAGGTTGAGCAAGGGACCGTAATGCCTTGCACTCAGGAAGTGTTCCACCAGTGGCGGGGATGAGGATTGCTGTTGAGTCCAACCCTGGTACAGATGCAAAAGCTGAGGACCAAGAGGCTGTAGCTTATTCAGTCAAACAGCTACTGAGCAACTGGGCTAGGGCCTGGGAGTTCCAGACTCCCAGAGTCGCAGACTTCCCACAGACTTCTAAGCCTGGCTCAGGGCTTCTCAGAGCCAGGCCTGGGGAACCCCACCTGGCAGAAGACCATTTTGGCGAGCACAGGGACAGGAAGATCCTGGGGCTTGGAGGTGGTCTGTGTCTAATGAGGCCAGTGGTATATGAGGCCCAACAGGCCTGTCCACCCCTGGAGAGACCAGAGGAGAGTCTTTCCATTGCCCAGTCCTAGGCACCCTGGGCAGCACTATCCCCCCGCAGGAGACAGTCGTGGTTTTCTCCTTAACACCCTGGGATGCCTGAGTGCCTGGGGCTTCACAGGACTCTGGTAGGAGCAGGGGATTTATGGGACCAATTTATTCCTGCCTACTGAGAGGGAACTGGACCCCTGAGGATACTCGGGGACCAAGAATTGTAAGGTTGTTTTTAGATAGGGGAGAGAGTCAGCTTGAGGGGACATGAGTGTCCAGGGTCAGGCACTGGGTTGGCCTAAGCAGTGGAGCCTGGGGGCTGGGCAGAGTCTGGGCTGGGAGTTACGTGGCCTGGGTTTTGGTACTGTCTTTTCCTAGCTGGGGGACCTGCATCCATGGAAGAGAGTAATGAAAACTGCTCAGATTCCTGCCAGATATATAAGGGGGAGCAGCCTGAAAAGCCAGGCTGGAGAGGCTGACTCCTCCATGGCCTTACAACCTCTGGAGGGGAGAGAGGAGGAGCAGATACGATCACCCCTCCTTGTGCCCTGCCCTGGCACCCACAGCTGGCAGCTGGAACCCAGAGGTGATCGGGCAGGGAGGGCAAAGCCTTCCTGGGCCCCCCATATTCCAGAGTCCCAGTGGCCCTGGTCTTCCTCCAACCCCATGAGGTTGTGGAGTCAGCATGTCCTGCCACCTCAAGCTCTTTAGGGAGTTGCTGCTCTGCTCACGTTTCAGCCCGGGTGCAAGGTCCTGGGGGAAAGGTAGGATTCCAGAGGCAGCCTCCAGGCATATTCTTCCATGAGATGGCATGGCTTCTCTTTAAAGAAAAGGTGATAAGTCTGGGATCCTACCCTGGACAAGCAAGTGGACCTGGCCAAGGATGGCACCCAGCAGAGTGAGTATTAGAGGGAGCAGCTAGCACCAGCATGTTCCTGTTGTACCCCCTCAAAAGTGAGAATCTGAGGCTCAGACAGGAAGTAACCTGCCTAGTGTCACACAACAGAGTAGTGAATAAGAGCATGGGCTTTGGAGTCAGGCAAACCTCAGTTCAAATCCCACCTCAGGCGTGGCACCTGTTTGGTGTGCAATAATGACCATGGCTAGCAGCATGCTATTATTATGGGCAAGCAAGGAACTGACAGGGTTAGGGACTGTATGGGGGATAGAGGGGGTGATCCTTAAAATCTGGAAGGGTTTGGGTTAGAAACCAAACCAGGTCATGGCCTTTATTTTGTCACTAAAGGCCTCAGGGCTGAGGAGAAGATGGAAGGTAATTAGGCCATCACTGCTGTCTGCCCAGGAAAGAGAGAGAGCCATGCCCTGGGGCCCTGGAGGACAAAGCCACCACCCGTGTGTGTTTGTGAGGAGACGGAGGTCTGAGAGAGTTAGAAAGGGTGAGAGGAGCAGCGCAGAGCCCTGGCTGGTGTTAGGAGCCCCAGGACCTTGAGCCTTTTAGGGTCTAAAGTCTGGGTTCATGAGATACAAGGAGCAGAGCAGCACAGACCAGCTGGAGTTTAGTGATTTATTGAGACCCCCCCCCAGAACCTTGTTTCATGGTCTATCACCTTTCCTGCTTTTCCCCAATTTGCTCTCCTCCAATGACATGACAGCCTCACTGAAAGTCACCCCCAGCTCCTGTTCCAAAAGCCCAGCTCCAGCCCTCTTCACAGCTGGGCTTGCTGAAGTCTCTGCTCTCTTCATTCCTATTTACCAGAGGGGGGAGGGGAATCTTACTAGCCACCTGTCAGCGAACGGATATTGGCTGCCTCAAAGGCAGGTGCTGATTCCCTTGTCCAGTCAGCTGAGGCCAAGCAGCTGGACCTTATCCAAACCAAGTTTGGGTGAAGATGGGACAGAAAGGATGAAGGGACTGTAATAGTTATCTATTGCTGCATTACAATCACCCCAAAATTTAGTGGTTTAAACCAACAATTATGTATTTATTCTCAGTTTTACAACCTGGGCAGGGCTTGGGAAGAATAACTCATCTCTCCTCTGCGTGGTGTTGATTAGGGAGACTTGACTAGGACTGAAAGGTCCAAAGTGGCTCCCGGCAATGTCTGTCAGCTCAGCTGGGGAGGCTGGAAGGTCTGGAGGCCAGCTGGCTTCTTCATGTCCACGCGGTTTCTCCAGAGGCCTCTATGGACTTCTTCATGGTGCCTCAGTGCCCCACGATGGCAAAATGGAGACTGCCAGGTCTCGTGACCCCTAGGCCAGGAAGTCACACAGCCTCATGTTCACTGCATTCTATTGGTCAAGGCAAGTCATAGTCCTCCCCTAGATTTAAGAAGATGGGGACAGATAGCAGCTCCTAGGCCAGGAGCTACAAAGTCACATGGGCAAAAGGGCAAGTCACATGGGCAAAAGAGCATTGCAGCCACCTCCACAAGGACCCCTGTGCTGCCTGTTCCTTTCAGGAACCACTCATTGGTGCACAGGCCTCCAAAGCTTACCCAGGAGTAGGGGGCTTAGGAAGTGATGGTGACTGGCCTACAGATCGATCTAAGTAAAGAGCCAGGACTTGAACCCAAGTTTGCAGTGTCCTTTTGAGCAGAAGCAGAAGCAGGAGGCGGAGCGGGGTAATGTAGCAAAAATAATAAAAGCTACTGCCTTTCAAGAGCTATGCAAGGCACAAGGCCAGACACTTTACATATGTTCTCTTAATCCTACCGTGAGGAGGTTCTCACATGCTCCCTTTTGAATGAGAACACTGAGGCTCAGGAAGAAGTGCCTGCCTGGGGTTCACCACTAGGTAGTGATGAGGCCAGGATTCCTTCTCAGGACACCAGTATTTCATGGCAGAAAGAGCACCAGATTGGTCCTCTCACTCTGAACCACCACAGGCTTCCCATCTGTAAAGTGAGCATGGTCCTATGAGCTCCTGCCGTCTCCTTCCTTTGTGGGATGGAATGAGCTGGTGGCGGAGATTGTGCTGTGGCAGGAGTGGGTGAGCACTTGCGTCAGGGTCATGATCAAAGCTTGTACCAGTCAATTCCCTGCTCCCAGTTCCCAGTCCACCTGGCATCTCTGTGGGGCCCTGGGATCAGAGCGTGATAACAAGACTCAGCTGCCTGTTCTGAGGACCTGGCAGTCTGGCCCTGGTCCCTGTTGGGCAACTGGGGACTACGGAGGAGGGGTCTGAGCACAGTGGCCACATAGTGTGGCCCTGGCTCTGACTGCCCTGGGGGAGATCACTGCT